CCTACTCTTCCACTTAATAATATGTGACCTTGGGCAACTAGCTTAACCTCTCTGTGCTATAATTTCTGCCTCTGTCAATTGGTGATAATAATAGTATCTTCCTCATAGAATATTGTGAGAATTTTAAAAAATAATACATTTAAATACAATATAATATAGTGGTTAAGTACATGTACTAGAGCCACTACCTGTGTTCGAATGCCTGCTTCATTACTTTGGCAATATTTCTATTCCTCAGATCCCTCATCTGAAAAATAGGCTAAAAAATAGTACCTACTATGTTCTCAAGTTTAAAAAAAAAATTACCTCCTGTTACAATTGTTGAATTATATGAGTTAAAATATAGAGAGTATAGTATGTAGGCCAGTATCTGCAAATAGTTAACACTATTTTAATATTACTTATTATTAAAAGGCTTAGATAAGAATTTGTTGTATAGTATTCACTCAAGAAGTAGTTGATATTTTACAGGAAATCCCCATTTTCAACAATATTCTGTAAGAAGAAAGATTATGGTTTTGAAGAGAGGAAAGCATTTTAGAGCCACAATTTGATGCCACTATCTTTCCTCCTCCCACCAAATAATTTAAATGAACACGGCAATACTAAGCAACTAGAACTCTATACACAGTTGAGTATAAGTTAGTACAGCGCTTTGAAAAAGTGATCCACTATTAAGGCTGAACCTTACACATATCCTTAACCCAGCAAATCCATTCCTAGATTCATTTACACACAAAAGAAATGCATGCTCCATGTAACAAGACATAACAGAAATATTCATGTAACAAAGAACTTAATAGCCAAAAACTGGAAGCAACTCATATAAATTCTGTGTGTTTATAAAACCGGGGGATGGAAAGGATGAATTATGACCTGTATATAAAATATGTGTAAAAGAAGGCAGACAAAAAAGTACATATGGTGTGATCCACACCACCCCCCTGCTTTTTTTTTTTTAAGTTCAAAAATGGTAAAACTAATTTTGCCATCAGGGTAGTGTTGACCCTTCGGCAGGGGACCCGACCCGTGACTGGAGTTGAACCCAGGGTGCTTCTGGAGTTCTGCTACTTGATCTAATTTGATGGTTACCTGGGTGTATTTTGTTTGTGAAAATTCATTCTGCTATATGCTTATTATTTATGCATTTGTATATATTATGTATGTTAAACTTTAATTGAAAATTTATATTAACACAAAAAGCTTGAGAATTTTGGAAATGATAGTTCACTATTTCCACTTGTCAAGCTTTCTAGAATTGCCCGGGCTGGGTGGCTCAGTTGGTAGGAATGTTGTCTCATGCACCAAAAAAGTTGTAGGTTCGAGTCCAGGTAAGGGTACTTATGGAAGGCAACAAATCGATGCTTCTCTTCCTCTTCCCTCCTTTCTCTCTCTAAAAAATAAGTAAAAAACAAAACCATATCCTCAGGTGAGGATTAAAAATATACTTCATACTTTAAAGAATTGTAGGTGTTCAGTTCCAGTGCAGATGCAAGAAAAGATGGTCCTCCTCATGCTTTCTGTCTGATTTTGGCAGCCAAGATTGGGGAATACAAAACAAAACAAAAAGTAGGTGCTCTTTACAGTGCCAGGAAATTAACCAATGTGGCTTCTAAACTTGTCTTAATTTAGGTCTCCAGGGCTGTGAAAGACTCAGGAGCAACTAATAAGTAGCTTGGCAAATATACTTTGAAGTAGTCATTAGTTTTCATTTACCTGTCATCTCACATACAGTGCTACAGATACAGGAACTACAGATGGGGTGGGCAAAAGTAGGTTTATGGCTGTGAATTCGCAGAACAGAGTTTATTCTTGTATTATTATTTACTAGAGGCATGGTGCACGGATTCGTGCACCGGTGGGGACCCTCAGCCTGACCTGTGCCCTCCCGCAATCCGGGACCCCTCAGGGGATGTCAGACTGCCGGTTTTACCCCGATCCCTGCAGGCCAGTGCCGTCTGCTGCTCCCACTGCCGCTCACGCTCATCCTGGCCCTGCTCCGTCTGCCACAAGCTTTTGCCCAGTCAGTCCCGATCGAGAGAGGCTCGTGCTGTCGCAGCGGCGCTTGCCAAACCATAAGCCCTGCATCTGGCGCCTTTTGGTCAGCTGAGCAGCACTCCTGCTGTGGGAGCACACTGACCACCAGGAGGCAGCTCCTGCGTTGAGCGTCTGCCCCGTGGTGGTCAGTGAGCATCATAGTGACAGGTTGACCAACCGTTTGGTTGTTAAACATTTATATAGAGAGAGATTAACTAGAGGTCCAGTGCACAGAATTGTGCACCGGTGGGGTCCCTCGGCCTGTCCAGCACCCTCTTGCAATCTGGGACCCCTTGGGGAACGTTGGAGAGCTGGTTTTGGCCCAGTCCCCACAGGCCAGGCTGAGGGACCCCTTCAGTGCACAAATCCATGCACCGGGCCTCTAGTATACATATAACATCTTTGGTTAATCTCTTCCCGCCATCCTCCCTGCCCCCTTCCCTCTGAGATTCATCAGTCTGTTCCATGACTCTGCATTGAACGTCTGCCCCCTAGTGGTCATTGCACATCGTAGCAGTTGGCTGGTTGCTTAGGCTTTATATATATAGATATAGATTATATTATTTTCCATATAAACAACTGTAAACCTACATTTGCCCACCCATATATAAATTATATATAAAACTGGTTTGTAGCTGGAATAAGTCTTTTTAACTTTTCTAGAGTGATATACTGACATCTGCAGACCTGAGCTGGTGCTTGTAAAGTTTGATTGGAGAAAGTTTCATGTGGTCCAGCTGTGAGATGTAAGAGGCAAGGTTGAAGGTTCTTGATAAGCATTCATTATAATTGGTGCTCTTGCTTATTGCTTTGGTGTCCATGATGCAGTTTTAGTAACTTAGTGAGTTTCTTCTTTAGATGGAATTTGTTTTGTTTAGTCTACATTGTGTCCAGATTGATGATTGAAAACGTTACACTTTTGCAGGTCATTGCTTCATAGCTCTTCCCATTTCTGCTATTTTTATATCACATGAATCATTGCACATTTAAGCCATCTGCAAGGCCTGAATGGAATGAGATAAAAGCTGCCATCACTCAGATTGACACTTGAAAAGCTGGTATTCATTCGGAGTTTATTCCTGATTATCCTTTATATTTTAAAGTCTCAAACTTCATTCCACAACAGTTGCTAACATCTCTAAGAAAAGTATCTCTGATTCACAGGTGGTTTTTTTTGTTGAAGGGAAAGGATTTGTTGTGTCACCCAGAAGAATCAGTTAGGGATTCAGTTCTAATTCTACTGAAATAATAAGAATAGTAGGTTCCATCCCTGTTTTAAAATATGTTGGTTTTGCCCTGGCTGGTTTGGCTCAGTGGTAGAGCGTCTGCCTGCAACTGAAGGGTCCCGGGTTCGGTTCCAGTCAAGGGCATATGCCTGGGTTGCAGGCTTCATCCCCAGTGGAGGGCATGCAGGAGGCAGCTGATCAATGATTCTCTCTCATCATTGATGTTTCTATCTCTCTCTCCTTCTCCCTTCCTCTCTGAAATCAATAAAAATACATTTAAAATAAAATAAAATATGTTGGTTTTAATGAGCTCAGGTTTGGCATGCACATCATAGTGAATGGTAAAACACAAGGTTCTGAAATTGCCAGGTGAATGCTTCAAAATAAATGTTTTTTGCATGCTTAGAATATATCACACCTATTAGAGATTTGTCAAAAGTGTTTCTCAACATAGCAACGTTTTTGAGGATTTCTTGGTGGGGTGGTCGGTGATTAGATGAACACAAGTCTGGGATGCAGCAAAAGAGACTCATGATCAAAAATGCCCCTTCACACTCACACACTTTCACTAAAGATGTACACAAACCTATCCTTTATATGTGTGTAGTGGATTAGTCAGGCTCCCTTAAAGCCTTTCCAAACAGATTTTTCTCAACGCAACTTTGCTCTGAGCAGCGAAAGGTTGGTGTGTGTGCTAAAGTTACCTGGAATCGTGTGAATTAGGGAGGGGAGTATAGACTGCTTTCAGAGTAAGAAGTGTCTTCCGTTTTTAAGTAAAGTGGCCATTGTCACCAAGTGTCTCCTCTATATAAATAATACTTTGGTAACCCAGTAGTCATAAACTCTGGAACTTATAGAGGGAATAAAATATAAAAATAGTCCTTTGTTTCCTGAAATGATAGACCAGAAATGCATTGATCTTCACAACTAATACAACAGACTCTTCATTTTCAAGACAGGAAGATCTAAAAAATAGAAAGTTTTACTAAGAATCTAAGAGTATGGAACTATTTTTATTTCTTTTATTTTTTAAAATATGTCTTTATTGATTTTATTTTATTTTTTGAGAGAAACATCAATTTGCTGCCTCCTGCACGCCCCCTACTGGGGCTCGAGCCTACAACCAGGGCATGTGTCCTGACCGGGAATTGAACCTTTGGTGCACTAGGCAGTGGTCGGCAAACTCATTAGTCAACAGAGCCAAATATCAACAGTGCAACGATTGAAATTTCTTTTGAGAGCCAAATTTTTTAAACTTAAACTATATAGGTAGGTACATTGTTATTAACTTAATTAGGGTGCTCCTACGGCTTAGGAAGAGCCACACTCAAGGGACCAAAGAGCCACATATGGCTCAAGAGCCGCAGTTTGCTGACCACGGCACTAGGGGAAACTCAGCCCACTGAGCCACACAGGCCATGGCTGGTACTATTTTTATATCTTCAGTCATCCTAATGTATCTCCATGTCGTCTTGGGCAAGTCACTTAGTGTTTCTGTTTCTCCCATTTTACTAATGTACTGTAGATATTCAAAAAACCTAAATTTTGTGTGTAAACTATAGCATTTTGAACATAGATAACATCTTTCTTTGTTTTTTCTCATAGAAGGACAACAGTAATTTTTGCCTAAAGAAACTGTTTGAGAATGATTTGCGTGGAGGAGGATTGTATTTTACATAATTCATGTGAAGTAATTGTATTTAGTTTTTGTTCACTATTTATTTCTTTGCTTAGCAGACAGAAGGCGGAGCACAGACAGACGGCCAGCCGTCACAGACACAAAGTAGTGAAAATTCAGAGAGTAAATCTACCCCTAAACGGCTGCATGTCTCTAATATCCCTTTCCGCTTCCGGGACCCCGATCTCCGACAGATGTTTGGGGTAAGTCTCTGAAGTCCTTTTGGGGGTTTACAATTAAAATATAATTTAATCTACCACGTATATTATTAGTCATTAGTACTTTAGGATAAAATTACAAACAGACTGAGGAAGATCCTGGGAAAATCAATATTTTCATCCGAAACATTTCCTATCACCTGTCTACTAGACATCAGCTTTGCAAATTCTCACATAAATAAGGTGACCATTTGCTTGGATATGAGACTTTCAATGCTAAAATCGGGATAAACTGTATTTACTACCTTTCACAGTGTTGCAGATTAAATGATATAATATCTGTGAAAGCAGATAGTACCTGTGTTTGTTCGTTTGTTTTTTCACTTTCATACTTATAACTCAACAGTGTCAAGACCAATATCTAAAATCAGGTCTGGGTGTTAGTTTGCTACCTTTGATGTGTTCTTCCAGCTGTTTAATTCTTCCCCCAGTCAACCATAGAAACGGTGTAAGAGCAAAGATTTGAGTTATTGGGAAGTGAGTGGCTGCTGAGCATGTTAATTTTTTTCTGGGCTTATTGTGTTGTTGCCTGCTTTAATTTGAGCAAACTCTTAACTTGATCTAGGACTAAGAGATAACTGGGTTTTAAAATTTTTTATTAGTATCACAGCCTGGTGCTTTTTCAGAAAACCAAATCCTCTTCCTGAAGTTTAGGCCACTTCATGGTGACACAATACCTTGGAGCAAAGTTCTGTCACTTATAGCAGGTTACCTGGATGTGTGTTGCACTTTGAATGCAAGGCCAGGGTTGAGATTAATGATAGTATTGAAGAACTTGGAAAAGAGGTTTCACAGAGAAAATCGTAGCAGCTGGTCTCCATCTCTACAGGAAAGAGCACAACAGAAGATATAAATGCAGCATAAAGAATCCCGGTTACATTTGGGAAGAAACTTCCCAGGAGTACGAGTTATTAGGTTTTCTACTGAATTGTCAGAGATAACATGGAATTTTAAGCTCTAAAAATGGAGTGCATTCTCTTGTCAAAAGTGTGTTTTCCATTGAAGATCTGCCCAGACCACTTAACAGTGCTTTCTTGAAATGTATTATACCCTTCCCATAAGGCACTAAGTGCATAAAAATTTAATTTCATTGCGAGGGTAGGTACCTGGCTGCTCTGTCTTCTTTCACGTGGTCAGTACCTACTGCTTAGGAGGACAGTTGCGTTGGTAAAGAGCACAGATTACACGCTCCGTTTCATAAGCTCTGTAAACTTGAAAAATAGCTTCTTTCAGCCTCGTTTTTTAACCAGAAAGGGGAATAGTGCTGACTCTAGAAGGATGCTATGAGGACCCATTAGAAAACAGAGAAGAAAACAAACTCTAAAACGCCATACAAAGCTTAGTTTTATGGGATAGGTATAGGAAAAAAACAAAATGCTCTTCTACCCAAAATAAAGACATTCTCCTCTTTCCGTGATGTTTCTAATTTTCTATTAAATGGTGAAACAAGAAGCAAGCCCAGAAGCTTATTATAGAAAACTTGGGCTCTTCATGTTTTTTATAATGATAATAATGTTTTAGCCCAATGAGAAAGCATGATTTCTGTTTTGCTCTTCTTATTTTTTAATTTTTGCACATTTCTCAAAGTCTGGTTTTAAATCCAAGTGAAATAGATAATTGGGTATATGAGCTTAGTACTCAGAGAGAAGTGTGAGCTACAAAGATATCTGGAGATTTACTGCACATCCCCTCAATGCAGTTTATCCGAGGATTGATTAGCACAGGTAGTTTTGTCTCTATATACACATCTCCAAATAATTACTGTGTTGTGTATGCCCTCTAGTCAGCTGTTAGCTACCTAACAATAGTTATTAGGCTTTGTAGTTTTAGCTTTGTTTTGATTTTCCAAATGTTAAAATCTTTAACTAATTACAAAGCAAAGTTACTATTTAAAATATTCTTGATGGTGTTCAATGCAGAAAGATTAAAGTGGCAAATAAATGAGATCCATACATAATGTCTATGAAAGTTTAAGTATAATGGAAAATAGCATGTAACCTATAGAAATAACACGGATATATATTTATTGACTTGGGAAGTTGTTCATAGTATATTAAGTTTTTTAAAAAAAATAAAAGAATATGTGGAAATAGTTACATGCCTAAGAAAGAGCCAGGAAGGCTGTGTACCAGAACTAAGGTCGTGGGATTGAAGGTGATAATGAACATGATTTACTTTCATAAGTTAAAGAAAAATAAGGGGAAGCAAAACAGCCTTCAAATCTTTCTACGTAGGATTTACTTCTTAAAACTGAGACATTTAAAAATTAGAGTTGTAGTGGGGAAAATCCCTAGTTCTTGCCCGTGTAATAGGAAAACTCTCTGAATATATTCTGAAGACAGCTTCCACCATACAGAATGGGTAATGCATGAATGAGTGAATTGAAAAGCGAGTGGAAAAGGAGAAATGCTCAGCTCGGTGAGGAGAACTCAGAAACTCGTATGGGGCCTCCCAACAAATAGAAACATGGATGTTAAATAGTATTTGGGATGGAGGATGGGGAGGCCTGTTTCTTTTTCAGACGCAAGTAAAGTATGTGGATAAAAAGCTGACCATAAACAAATGTTTTTATTTTTGTCTCTGCAGCAATTTGGCAAAATCTTAGATGTAGAAATAATCTTTAATGAACGTGGCTCCAAGGTAAGCTCCATGTCAGCATTAAGTCAGCTTGTTTTTGTTATTTTAGTTTTGTTTTATTTTAAACAGTAAGTAGTCAGAAAACTTAAGCTGTTTTTCAAGCCTGCAAAAATGCTCCTGTCTAGCTTGGGTTAGATTATCTCTAAAAATAAGCTGCCACATGGCCAGACTTTATCTTGGTCCCTAAATCAGGAGAGTGGTGAGATAGAGGCAAGAGGAGTTGGAGGAGAGAGTGTGGCGGTCAGGATAATAGGCTGTAGACACACCAGTCCTTCAGCAGACTTCAGTTTGCCCTACACTTCTTATATTAAAAGAAAAGTGAAATTCTATGAAAATTCTATTCTGAAGTATCAGAACAAATCAGCTTTTAAAAATAGAACTTTGAAATGACATATTTAGAAAAAATTTAATATTTCAGTTATTCAGCTAACTTGCTCTCTCGAATGAATTTTGACAAGACTTAACTACAGGGAGTATAGTGACTCAGGACTTCACTATGAACTGATTTCCTCCTTTAAGTTAAAGCCTTACAGGCCAGCTGCAGAATACAGTGAGTGATTTTTTTTTTAATTTTTTTTTTTTTTGCATAAGAATTAAAGAAGTAACAGTGTGCAAATTGATATGTGTATTCTCTTCTAAATGTGTTCTATATAAGAACTGAAATATTTTTAATTAAAACATTTTCCCTTAATAATTTACTATTAAATTTCCAATGTGTATGATTTAGAATTTTTATACACTAAAATGAGCAACGGTGTTTTTAGGACTGAGTGAATGGTAAAGTCTTACAATGGCATTATGAGAAAAGATCTGATTAACTGGATTTCGGAAAGTTTTACTTGAAAGTTTTCTTCCTCCTTAACAAATTAAATACACCCACAGACATAATCAGCTGTGGCCAAGCTTACAAATATTTACCTTGCTATGTTCAGTTCTACTGGCATTTTTAGGTAAGACCAGTTTTTTAGTTAATTTTCATTGGGTCAGCTCTACTGAACTTTGAAAGTAGCCCTTGGCTATGATTAAATCTCTAAGAATGTAATTTGAGAAAACTCATTTATTTGCTCTATTTAACTTAGTATTTATCTCTTTAATTTCTTATTCCAAATTAATACCACCTCTCTACAGAGTTATGTACCTGCTGCCCCCATCTGTACCAATACAAATGTATGTACTGTTCTAATGCTATTGATCATTATTCCCTTCCTTTATAGAATGCATCAACACTAAAAGTGTTTAATTTTTACCATAATAATTATTTTTTAGTATTAACGAGGTAATTATATACTAAGCTTCCAGTTTTCTGTTAAAACAAAAAAGATTACTATGCCTATACAGAATTTTCTCCAGCACTTCCTTGGTAAGTATTTTTAAAGTGAAACCAATTCAAACTGTAACCAGTAAAACTATGCTTGTAATTTCCTCACAATGGATTTCTATTTCTTTGTCATATAGTTTGCTTTTATTTTTTGTGACCTTTTTAGATACAAGGTGAAACAATGACAATGATTTAGAGATAAGAAGCACATGAATGTAAAATAAATGTGAAGATTATTGACTACACTGTTTATCTAAAGTAGCAGTTTAAATGTTTTTGGCTTTTAAGTGTATGCACTTAAAATATCCTTAACAAGACTCTTAACAACCGAAAGCCCAATATAATTTCATCAGGCTCCTTACCAAGAAAATAATTTAATTGAATTCTTTGAAGCAAAGGAAATTGATCTTTCTTAAGGCTTCTTTCATTGACTTCAAGGATTTTTAAATTTACCCGATTCAATTGCTTCTCCCCTATAATTTTCATTTTTAAAGGACATAAGTCTTCCTCTTCTCTTTGAGAAATCTAAAAGCATATGCTGCCTCTCTCAGCTCCATGCTGTGTCCTCACTGCCCCTTTCCTTTGGACTGCTGAAGGGAAGACAGACTATTACTAATTGGTAAATGATTTAAAATAAAGCACAGAATTTGGGGTTGTCTTGTATCTATCTACAAGGACTGGTGCAAAACCCGTTTTCATCCTTGCCCTTCTGTTGTCACCTAACGTTCTTTGCTGAAATGGGTTCCTCTGGAACTGTTTTAGGCTCGTTAATAGAGATTTATGTTGGAGTCAAACCTAGATACCTCTTCTGGAATCCACCAAAGATAAATTAAGCAATACTTTTCTTTTTTAAAAATTAAGTTTAGTTTCTCATTTCTAATATGTTTGGAGTTGACTATAAGTTACATGTCTTGAAAGGAACCTGAGAAAAGGAAACTTATGTGGTCCTGTTGTTCAGTTAAGAGTTGTTCAGTCTTTTAAGAGTGCTTTCTGTACAGAAATCAGCCTTATTGAAAAAAATTTTTAAGCAGTAATGGAATAACTAGTCACAAATTAATTCTGAGATAAGTAATACTTACTTGTAAAGCAGTATTTAACCAAATGGCTCCAAAACAAAAAGCAACTCTTTGCCATCTTTTATTTTTTGTAATGAGACTTTCAGCCCAGGGGTTTAGAAATACCCCACTTAAAGTCATAAGTGGGCACTGTTAGGCTGCCATGCCCGTGCCTTCCTGCCTGCCAATACTCTACCTTTACAGCTTGCCTGCAGAGTAGAATTTCTGTGCTCCAGGAAGTAATTGTCCGTTTGTTGCTGACTTTTTATTTTCTTCTTTGACCTTCATATTGTGCATTTGGTTTACCTAGATTATGGAGCAAATATATATTATTTACACATGCACACTGCGCATTTAAATTATTTCATGCCATTTAAAAAAATCTTTTTTTACTCCCTATTCTTTTGTATAAATATAAAGTCAGCTGTATTTAATTTTTTTGTGATTAACTGAAACAAAGATAGACTATCCTTTTGAAAGTGTTCAATTAGGATATATGATGAAAAATGGGACCTCTGCCAAAATATTAACTAAGATACTCAAACAGAATCTAGAAAAGGATTATACAGGCTTGTGTAGCTTTATTGATCCTCCAAATTTCACCAGATGTAACCAAGTATTAATAAAAACAAGAAGATATAGGTAAGTGGCCATAGGTCCTGGTTTATCTAGGACAATCCCAGTTTTTATACCTGTTTGAACATAATTATTAATAATGTCCCTTTTTATCCTTAAAGTGCCAGTTTGAACAGTAAATTATATTGTCCTTTGAGTGACAACTTTTAAAAAGCACCCTTTTAAAAATGATTATAAAGGGAAAACATGATGTTAATGAGAAATAGAAAGAAAAAAAGCATACATATCTCACTAAAGAGAATATTCACTAATATTCTCATATATTTCCTTCCAGTCTTTTTTTCTCACATAGAATCTTAAACAGAACTCTAAATAAGGGTCACCTAGTTCAATCCCCAGTACTCTTGACCTTGCATTCTCTGCTAGACATTTTTAGAGCCTGCAGACTTGTTGCTTTTCAAAGTTTATTCCATTGTTGAAATTCAGATTTCCCAACATCCTGTTCATTATCATCCAGCCCTATAATAATTTGCGGTAATTATCAAATTTATTAAATAAAAAAGCACGCATACTCTCACATTTATATTTTTCATGAAGTTTTTTCAACATACTTTCGGTTGAGTTGCCGCTTAAAAGGACATGTATGTATTATAACTGAATTTGTGGAAGCTCCTTACTTCTTCAGACAGTGCCAGTTATTAAGCTGGTGAAAGGACTACGAAATAGACCACAGCAACAGCTGTTGAGATTGCTAGGAAATTTTTAAGTTGATGTGTTATTACTTCACAGGTGGATTTCTGGAATGGTGGAGATCTGTGTGGTTTGGGTTAGGCGTTAGGCTAAAGTTTAAGCTGGAGTTAGGGAAGATAAAACCTCTATTTCCATTCCTCAAGACACACGCAGTATGCTCTAACTTCTCCCGTATTTCCCTGGCTTTCGGTTTCATGGAAAAGGGGATTATTTATTTATTTATTTATAAATATGGTCAAAAGACTGTCTGAAATTGCACTAAGTCAGCATTTGTAATTTTCAGTAAAATTGACAGGTAATGCTGAGATGAAATGGTTTTCATAGTACTTAAAACTGAATTAACAGTGCATGTATTTCCAAAGGGCTTAGTTTATTTTCTTTTGTTACCATTTTATGGGTTTTAGTTTTCTTTTTCTTTTATTTATTTTTTAATTTCTGTGTTCTGGCCATACCCAGGAGAACCGTCTGCTTTTGATTTCTCCCTAAAACGTTACATGGTAAATTTTCTTTCTCATTCTTCTGAGATGGAAAAATTCAAAGATTATACAAATTAAAAAATACGTTCATGGTGCTCATCCTATTGCTTGTTATTTATTGCAGTCTGAGGCCAGACTAAAAAGGTGACAGTTATTCGGCTTCTTTGCCCTTGATGATGCCAAGGCAGGTGATGACATTTTGTCACACTCGGAAGAAGCTTTAACCACAACCCATAACCACATTATTCCTCGATTTCCAAAAGAGAGCTGGTAATCACTAATGTAACATGGGTGTTTAATTTGTTCACATAGTAGGACTTTGGGAACTGAGAACCTTAGGTAAAAGTATAAAGCATATAGACCTGCATTGTCCAGTATAGTGGCCTTGTTGAGCCTTTGAAATGTGGCGAGTGTACATTGAGATGTGCTTTAAGTGTAAAATACACACCGATTTCAAAGACTTAAGACACAAGAAGAATGTCAGACATCTCACTCATATGTTGTATATATTCGGTTAAATAAAATACATTATTAAAATTAATTTTACCTAGTTTTACTTTTTAATGTGGCTAGTCATCGTTTTAAATATATGTGAATTGTGTTACATTTCTGTCTGATAGGGCTGGTGTTGACAAACATATCAACATGATTTTTTAAATTAAAATAAAGGTTTACGTTTTATCTTTTTTATTTTCTTACATCCCTGATATATTTTCTCTTGTTAAGAGTTTGACATTAAACCTTAGTTTGACTTTGAAACTAATCAGAGTGGTTAACGTTTCCCTGTTTGATATATTGCTCATTTTGAAGCTCTTCTACGGAAAATGTTAGGATTGGACATAATTTTACTAATTTTTTTCAAAGCAAAAGATCTGAATGGCCTAACAATGTGAATTAGATTTCTAAGAATGAAGGCACATGAAAATATAATTTCATATAAGCATACTTTCCTATTAGTAACTTTTAAAGCCCAGATAATCTGTGAATATCGTTAGCTCAATTCCTTGCACATTTTCAAAAATGTTACATTTTATTGAAGAACATAGTATATTAAAACAAAATTTTAGCCTTCATTTGAATTAATATTCTTAAAACAAAATTGTAAATGTGATAGATAAACATTAAGTTGATGGAAAATTACATTTGACGTTTCAACGTAAGAGAAAAGCGTTTTAAGGCCGATACATTTAAAATGCTGTCATGCGTCTCACCTTCCCAATCAGACTTTAATTCTGTGAGGTGTATTAATTTCCTATTGCTTCTGCACAACTTGCCACAAATGTGGTGGCTTAATACCACACACATTTGTTATCTTACAGTTCTGGAGGACAGAAGTGCAAAATGGATCTTCCCAGGCTAAAATCAAAGTGTTGGAGGACTGCATTCCTTCAGTAATTTTTAGGGATAATCAACTTCCATGCCTTTTGCAGCTTCTGGAGGCGGCCCACATTCCTTGGCCTGCAGCCCCTTTCCAAATGTATCCAGCCTTTCTCAGGCTGCTGCACCCTGATTCTGACTCTCCTGTTACCCTCTTTCACATATAGGCACCCTTGTGATTACCCCGGGCTCACCTGGATAATCCAGGATAGTCTCCCTATCTCCAGATCATTAATCACACCTGCAAAACCCCTTTTGCCATGTAAGGTAACATTCACAGGTTCCAGGGATTAGGACAAGGGGGTTAGGGGCACTATTCTGTCTGCCACAAGGTCTATTTATCTTCAAAGGAAAGAAAGAAATCCTCTTCTGTTTCAGACCAATATCCCTGGCCTCCCTCCTCTTACGCTAGGTGAAGATGTCTGTAAACATGGCTTTATTGTCATGTCTTTGGTATCTTGATTAGCATTTCCTTTGACAGATAAGCACCTTTCTTTTAAAACCGATTTGAAAGTGAAATTTTTTTCCAGAACATTAAAGTCATTATTGACAGAAATCTTACACAGGGTGTTCCCCTTGGTCATTGCTGACCGCACAGTGTCAGTGCTGGTGACACCTCCCTGTGTTCTGTTGGAGATGCAGTTGTCCTGTCCCCAGTGTCCAACCTGCACATCCAGAAAGGAGAGTCAGAGAGCACACCTAGCAACTGGACTTGAGGAAGAAAAAAGGATTTGGGGACTAATGTAGTTTAGTAAATAGAATACTGAACTTGGATTTCAAAGCTGAATTTTAATTTCCTCACCATTAGCGTAGGAAGAAGCTACATGGAAGAAAGAAGCCTTATTGATGCTTTGAGCCTTGTTGCTTATTGAGTTCTTAACCTCAGTTTGACTTCGTTTCTTTACCTTCTAAATGAAACCAGCAGGTTTAGCCTTTCTGTCCCGTGGTTTTGCTTAAAAGGCAAACATCTATGTATGTATATATGTATATAGATATAGTCTTAATGCTCAAATTAAAAACCTAGCTTTAGTCTGCACATAATTCATTATATAAGTATTAATTTATTAATTTTATCCAAGGCATAAAATGTATGAGTCTGTAGCAAACAGTTGGATTACAGCTTTACAGCTAATAGTACTTCTAAAATGTGATATAAAACTCATCCCTATCTCTGACCTCTCTTAAAAGATTTAACTTTCTGGAGGATTCTCCAGAATTGGAGACCTGGTTTCGTCTCCAGCGGATCTAGTATAAACAACAAATGGTGGAATTAATTAGTAACATGCTCTTGTATACCTATACATACTAACATCAAAATTTGATTTTCAAAATGTGCTCCCATTGATATTTTCAACACATTTATTTCTCTTTAAGGGAAGTGTTAACTAATTTACCTGTAATATTCCATCCCAAGCCAACATATGTTGAAAATTTCCTATCAGCTTAGCATTGCACCTTCTAGGGTATTTATGGTGATATCCAAATTGAAGGTAGCGATGATCCATTGGAATCCTCCATGGTTCTGTCCAGCCATATAATCCTTTAGAATGCTGAGTGATCCGATCCTTCATGATGATGGAGTTGCTTTTATAAAATTTTATTGAGCAATTTACACTATATACCCTCTCAGTTAAGAACATGTTTTGTGTATACAGGAGAACTCATGGTAATAAACTGTAAAACAAAACTTGAGTAACAAAGGGTTCCAGGTTACCCTACAATGGTATGTTTAAAGAATGCTAGAGGAACATTGAGAAATGAGGCCTTTCCCAGAAATTTCTAATAATTTACCACTCTATGGATGTAAACAACTTGAGAAAATTTTATAATTGTACCTAAAATGAAACTGATATAATGCTTTATGAAAGAGTTGTATAAAAATATAGTAAATTCTGCTGATGTTGAAATTAACAGTATGATTATAACCCATGCAGTCTTTTCAAATACACTGCGAACAGTAAAGTGGGTTAACTCCCTGGTCTCCTGCTTTGTCCACATGGTGAAGTAAAGCTTCGTGGGTTTTTGTTGTTCAGTATCTACAATGCACAAATAAATTAATCCTAATTCAAGGTAGCAACTGTATTACTGTTTTATGGTATTCTTTTCCTGTTGAATAGTATGCAACTGATGTCACTAACATAGATCTCATTTCCATTGCTTTTTTGACTATTCCTTTTTTCTTCATATATGGAAAATTGCTAATATATTTAGTAGCAGATGCAGGCATCAACAAATGTACAACTTAGGCAAATTTGGATAAGCAATTTTTTGAAATTAAGCTGAACATACAAAGGTGGGCAGAAGTAGTCTTATAGTTGTTCGTATGGAATATAAACAACCCTATATAATAAAAGGCTAATATGCAAATTGTCCCTTCTACCAGGAGTTCTTCCAGGGGGTGGGGCCAGCCAGCCAACCGCTCGCGGCCCCTTCCCCTGGTCTGCCAGCCTGATCAGCCCTGATCAGGGCAGGCTGGCCAGACCCCACGGTGCACAAGTTGGTGCACCAGGCCTCTTAGTAATCTATAATAATAAAAGCATAATATGCTAATTAGACCGGATGACCTTCCAGACGAAGCCAGGGCTGTGAGGGAAGCCAGTGCTGGCAGCTGGGGGAAGGAAGGCCTACTCTTGTACAAATTTCATGCATCAGGCCTCTAGTTAAATAATACACTTTCATGTGCTTATAACCGTAAACCTACTTTTGTCCACCCCTCTAGTGCCACTCTAGTGCCAGTGTGGTCTTTTAAAATTGTCACGGAAGAAATGTCATCATTGACTGACCAGTGCTTAGTGATAGTTTCATTTGCTTAGACAAACATGAGTGCTTTTTTTTTTTACCATACCCAATACTTACAGAATTATACATCAAGATTATGTCTTAAATTATCCTGTTTCCAAGGTGGTACAAGCAGGAGGCAGAGTGGGGGCTCAAATGATTAGACATCTTAAAAATCTCATTATATAATGATGATACTTAAATATCAGTTTTCATGTAGAAGTTACTAGGGAATAATTGATTTAATGAAGTATTTTCTTAGTATTACATAAAGAAACATGTATATTAACAGCATGAAATGAGAGAGAAAAGTAGGGTATTTTTAAAAAATACTCAGATTCTTGGTTGAATAATTTGACCCGAGTAACTGTATATCTTAATTTTGGTCTGGCCTCACATGCTTTATGTTTTATTTTATTGTTATTATTGATAATTATATTATTATTACTACTACCACAACAGTTCTTTATTCTCTTACTGGACTTAATTTCCCTTTACAAAATATGCATGGTCCAAAAATGTGACTTCGGGGGCATATTGCTGAGTTGTTGCTGATGTCAGTTTCATACTGTGATATTTTGTTCTCTATTGACCACGAGATCAGTATTTCAATATAACGATGTGCATGTTTTCCCCCCTTCTCCCGCTGCATGCAGGGATTCGGGTTCGTAACTTTCGAGAATAGTGCTGATGCAGACAGGGCCAGGGAGAAATTACACGGCACCGTGGTAGAGGGCCGTAAAATCGAGGTGCATGTCTTCAATAATTCAATTTCTGGTTTATATTTTTGTTTCTCTTTTTGTGTATTGCCTCACTTATTTCACATTTGGAGCCCTGTCTTGTTTGTGTGTGTGCACACATGTATGTGTGTTTGTGTCTCTGTCCTTCACCTTCTTGCACTAAAATGTATAAAAGCAACACTTCTATCCTCCCCGCCTTTGGGGGGGGGTGGGATTTTAATTTTGTGTTACTTGTGTGTGTGTGTGTCTGGGTATTTTTCACTTACTTTTTTCCTCCAAGGTGTTCATCCTTTGCTCTCTTGATTTTTTTCCTTTGCTTCACTTTGCCAGACTCCAAATTCCTATGATCAGGCCAATATAAAACTAACTTTAAAAATGTCTGTCTCTATCCAGTTGATAACATTGTGTCCTGTAATAAATCAAGGGGCCAGCCAATGCCCTCTCTCTCAGGAGGCCAGTTCGCCTCCATGTCTGTGATAAGCAAGGAATAGAAGATCCTAGAGGTTGTTGGGAGGGAGGAAAGAATCCACAACTCATCAAATATATTTAATGTCAAGAATTTCAACTGTTAATGGATAAAGTCCTCAAACAGAGGGTTTGGCGGTTGCCCTGTGAATGGACTATCATTGTGGTTGAGTCAGCCACCTGTGTTCACCAGCCCTTCTTATTTAATAAGGCAATGAAGGTTAACTGGCTCCTTTCCCCTTTCCCAATTTTGAGAAGTATGAAATATAAAAGCCACCATTTTGAGTAAGATGTCTGCATATTTTGCTTTTTTTCCCCCTCCCTTTCCAATGGTTTAGCATTAAGGGCCCTTCACTTGACTCACTCACGTTGGCGGTAAGTGAAACCAAAGCACTAGAGAAGAAGCTTTATAAAATGTAATTACAAAACAATTAAGCAAGAAAGAAAAAGTCCATCTGCCATCTCACATTAACACGACAAAATGTGATTTGACTTGTTGCTCCTCTCCCTTCCCCTCCCCCTTTTGTTTTCAATGCTGTGGGTAATGCCGCCTGGACTTTGGATGTACATTGTTTTGTAGCATCTGAGCTGTTTGATACTGACGTCATGGTGACTGTCCCCCTTGCACATCTTACTCAGAGTTACTCAACTCCAGTTTGGCTGGTTTTATTAATGCACTTCCTGCCCCTACTTCCTTTCCTACTTGCCCTCTTTCCCAACCTCGGTTCAGAGCTGACTGTTCTTCCTTTGCCTTTGATGGCTCTCCTTCCTGCCCTGACTTTCTCTTTTCCCTGCCTTTATATTCTCTTTACCCAAGTCTGTTCCTGCCCTTTCCCGTTTCCTTTCCCACCCTTTCTTTCTGGTACATGCAGCTATTGGTCTCTTTTGCTGACTGGTGGTCTCTGATTGGGTCTGGCCATTTTTTTTTAAGTGCTTGGGTGCATTCTGCTCCAGCAGCTAGTGTAAGCTCTTGCCTCATTCTCATCCTGTCTGTGAGAGCCTTGCTCTTCACTTTCTCCCTCTCCCCAAAAGTGATTGTTTTTCCCTTTTATTTGTGTGTGTGTGTGTTTTTAACAGCATGCTCCCAGTCTCATTGTTGTATCCCATTCTTTCTTTTTAAATGTGAAATGTTTGTATTATTTGGTGGGTCAAACCAGAGTAAATGGAGTTTCAAGCTCTTTTCCTCACATAGGAATATTACCATTATACAAATCCTAAAAGACATATTAAAGCATTTTTTAAGTTCCTGTTCTACCTAAAATTGGTCTTTTTGTAACTTAAATTTATCACTATACAAGTTTAGGATTATGTAAGCGCCCAGAGGCAAAATAAGACATTTATATTTTATATGTTTGATCTTGTTTTCTTTTTTTTTCAAAACTGGCCTGTTTTATGACCTGGCAGCACAGTATTTGATCAAGTTGTGTGGTGAGGCTTCACCTCCTGGTCGGAGCTTTGAGGCTGGTTTTGCCACGGGGCTGCTTCATCTTTCTTCACCAGCACCATCTCTGTAACACCGTCTTGCCCTGGCACCAACAACACTTTGAATTATGCCATTCTGTAATGAGGGTGGAGCGTACCCTACAACCAGAGACATATGCTTTATTACTTTCAGTTCTTTTAAGTGCCTAATCTAAAGGCCTTCTGAAAACTTGATTCATAAATGGATAGACCACATGGTCTAGAAAATTCACGATGGTTCTGAAGACTGTCAACATGGAAATCTAAGTTTCTATATTTGTTGACTAACTTCAAACAGTAAAATCTTATACAAACATACCAAAAATGCTGAACAGTAGAATAGATGAAATTTACAGATTTATTTTCTTATCTTCCTGTAAATCTATGTCCTCCTTTTAATTAAGGAACTACTTCAGAGTTCATGTGAAAACAGTTGTTTCTAATTTACTATTTTCCCCATATTTTTCTTAATGCAGAGACTTCTCTGTTTAAGAGATCTCCAAGGTACTTATAAATGGATTTTTTCTTTGGAGTGCTGGGCCCTAGTTTTCCATTTGGAGACTAAGAAACTGCATTTTACTCTTGTTAGCCTCATTTAATAAACACTTTAATTAAAATATTATACATTAATATTTTATATTGCTATATTATTTAAATCAATGTTCTCTGAAATTTACTTTTTTAATTGAGTACTATGTTATTGGACAAACAATGTCATGTTTCTTAATGTGGTCTACTTCCCCCTTACCCCTTCTATTTTTAGGTGAATAATGCTACAGCACGTGTAATGACCAATAAGAAGATGGTCACACCATATGCAAATGGTAAGAGATTACTAATCATCATCAGAATAATGCCATTTATTCTTGTGAAAATAATGGGCTTTTTATAAACATCAAAGAATCTCTCTTGATTTCAGTCTTAAGACAGTTTATTTCATTTACCTAGGAGGGTATTTTGTTTTTTTAGAATTTAACTTTTTTCTTAGAATTAAGCTAATTTTTTAGTTGTTAAGGTGTTCTGGTCTCAGTAAAGTTCATCTGATATACAGTGTGAATGTGTCATTTGAGGTTACCTCTTAACTCAGGTTAGGTCCCACTACAGCACCCTCTGTTTTGGCTGTTGTAGTTCTCTGTAATACATTATTGGGCTTGTCCATAGTACCCCTGGATGCCCAGCAGTTCTCACTTTTACTGCTAATTCCTATTTATTTGAGCATAAATAGAGTAATCCTTGACACTTAGCTCTCCTTTTTTCTAGAGGTAATAGCCTTGTGTATGTGTGTGTGTATCTTCTATTTTCTATTCCATGACTGCATGACATATAGTGAGTGTTACAAATCTTTTTTATTGAGAAGAAAATTTTCTGTGACTATTTTGTCTAACAGAAGAAACTTTTACATCAGTTGTCAAATTTAATCTAGACTCATGTTCTCTAAGTGAGATGGGATATCATTTTAATCTGCTCTGCAGCAGTGGTTTACAAATTGTGCTCTATAGGACCACCTTGGGGGGGAAAGGAAACTGTATGAATTGGGTCCTGAGGCCTCCAGCTCTACTCTAGTCTGAGCAACTCATTCTCTTTTCTATTTTAGAGTTCTGCAGGATTTATCTAGATTATAAAAGGGGCGATTTCTCCCTTGTAAGTGCTTTGTGAGAGTCTGAACCTAACTGCTAGAGTAACAGTATGTTCTGGTCAGTCCACTCCCTTTCTATGCCCATGATTTTATTATAATCACCAGTTTATTCTGTTCATCAGATTATTTATTCACTTGATTTTTAGATTCACTTGTTGATAGATGTGTATTTGTTGTTCATAATTTATATCTTTACCTTTTTCTTCTTCTTCCTCTTTTTGAAGGATACCTTTCAGCATTTCATATAATACTGGTTTGGTGGTGATGAACTCCTTTAGCTTTTCCTTATCTGTGAAGCTCTTTATCTGACCTTCAATTCTGAATGAAAGCTTTGCTGGATAAAGTAATCTTGGTTGTAGGTTCTTGGCATTCATCACTTTGAATATTTCTTGCCACTCCCTTCTGGCCTGCAC